GAGTCCAAAGGACAGGCCCGATGGCCCAAAGCAGCAGACCATGGGAAAAGATGCTGGGACACACACTTTGCAACAAATGGTACTGGGCAGGAGTCCCAGGCACACTTGAGGCTGAACGCAGGCCACGACAGACCAGTCCAGCACTATAAAGGACTGGCCAGCCTCACATTTGGCAGATGCTCACTTCGCATGAGAGTGTGGAAGTGTCGTGGCACTTGTGCGCTAGATATGCGTGAGCTGCGCTAGGCTGAGAGCAGCGCTACGTGTGAAGAAGGGAAGAAGAGCCCTGGCTGGAAGGAAGGCAGCCATAGCTGCACCAGTGCTCGTTAGTATATTAGTAGGGATAGTTGGTAGAAGATACCAGTGAGTAGTATTCAAAGTAGATCCTCGTGTGATAGGGAGTGTGCATGCATGATGAGTGAGAGTAGACCAGGGCTATAGACATAGAGGGAGAGAGAGAAGAAAGCAGATGAGAGAAGGGGAGGTGTGAGCTATGGTGACACTTACCTGTTGAGCGCTGTTGTTGACGTTTGGCAACTGGCGCTGATGAGCGCCAGGCTTGGAACTCATGCTGATCGAAGAAGACTTGTAACTCTGTTTGGCACTGTATACTTTGTACTCACGATGTTCCCTCTCTAATTCTGGGTTTGATACTTGAGTTGAGCTTCCTGGTTCTCATTCATCTTCTATTGGGCTTTGTGTGAGACATCGCAATCTGTGAATTCTGTGAATATGCATGTGATCTGATGCACTCCAGCAAGTGATGAACAGTCGGGTTCCTTGCATGCTGCGTCAGTGCGAGAAAAAGCTCATATTGGCTTCTAGTGATCAGCGGGGTATGGTGGTGGTCCTTGAAAGGAGGTAGGACGTGGAAGAGAAGACAAGGGTGAGCATGACGAGGGCGAGAGAGGAGGTGATGTGAGAGCACGTACCTGGTCCTGGCAGAGGTCTACATGGTCGACATCTGCATGTACCTTGGTTGCTGCTGCTGACGTCAACAGGTTGCTTCGTCATTTGTAGGCTAGTAGAGCAGCTGTGTGATTGTAGTCTGGGCACCGAGCACCAGTAGGAAGAAGAGCTTCTATTACATTGTTCGTGGTGGCAAGAGTATGCTTTCATTGACAATCGACTTCGCTGCTTTGGTTCTCCTTCGGTGTGACTTCAGTGCATTTCTGCTGTCTGGACAGCTTACGACTATCTGGCTTTCAGTGTGATTTTGCAATCTGGAATTCTATCATATTGCTATTGCTTATTGGCCTTGCATTTTTGTTTTGTTTTTCTTGTTTTGCTTTGTTTTGTTTTCTTGATTTTTAATTCTTTTTTTGGTTGGGTCAATGACATTGGTTTTCTATCTATGCAGGGAATTGGCAATGGGATTCCTCTTGCGGCAGTCGTGACTACTCCAGACATTGCAGCAGTGCTGGCAAGGCGCCTCCATTTCAATACCTACGGTGGAAATCCAGTAGCTTCTGCTGCCGGAATGGCTGTTTTGGAGGTTGTGGATAAGGAAAAGCGCCAGGTATGTATGGACCAACAGCAGCTCTACGTGTGTCAACTGCGTAAACTGTGTACTAGGGAGACAGAGATCATATGCTCTCATTTGTTCTTTCTTTCTATGAAAAAAAACTCTAAAAAAGTGAGTTTCTGTATTGAAAAAGCAGAAACAGCGAGTTTCTGTATTGTTTTTGAAAATCCTGTTCTTTCTTTCTATGAAAAAAAACTCTAAAAAAGTTAGTTTCTGTATTGAAAAAACAGAAACAGCGAGTTTCTGTATATTTTTTGAAAATCCTGTAGAGTCCCAAAGAGGTGGGATTAGAATGCTGATCATAGGTGGCTCCAGTTCAGTTGGTCATTATTTCAGGCTGCTTCGTTGGGCTTGTGGGTAGGACATAGATATGGGTAGCTAGTGTGAGACGTATTGAGAGAAGAAAATAGGGTAGTCAAAAACACGACTGTCCCCCATATGAGGAGAAGATAGCTGTATTTTAAACTATTTTTTCGATTAAAAATAAAGAAAAAGAAGAAGAGAATGCTGACAGCGCCGAAAATGGCAAAACCTGTTCTGTGTGCAAGGAATATGAGTGTGCAAGGAACATGAATGTGGACGAAGCACAGAAATCCAGATTGCAAAATCACACTGAAGTCGAAGTAGTCAAAGCAAGAGCAGATAGCACAATGGAACCGAGTAACCATCCATTTCAGAACGATACAGAAGAATCGTGAGTCAATGTCCAAGCCCAATCGGGCAACACCAACAGCATAACCCAATGTAGCTCTCTCTCTTGAATGGCGCCAGGCGCCCTACCT